GGATGTGGTTACTTGAGTTGGCTGGGAAAAAATATCACCCAAGAGCTTTAAAAACAGAGAACACTCACTGAGTTGGGACAGTATCTTTTCATGAGTTCGTTGATGGCGATGTCATTCTTGTGTAGTTTAGGGCCTGTGTGGTACCACCCAACTATTCTTTCTCTGGCTGGGAAGGAAAAAATTAGTGGGTTTTAATGGTTTTGTGAAGATCTATACAATTCCCTCAAAGAGGATAAAAATATCAGTGGTTTTGTCCTCTTTTTGAAAACTCTAGACCTCTATTTTAAACCTTGACATACCTATAACACCTAAAACTCAAAAACAATTCTCAGAAAATAAGCAGAACGGGAAATCTAGAGACAGATATATCCCAGAGTAGTTTAGGAAACCAGTCATACATGGGACAACTAGAGAACAAATCTAAGGCAATACAGAAACAAATGCAAGTTCATGTCACATAAATGGCAACTGTGAATGTTGTGGGAATAAACATTTCTAAAACGTGGCTGGTGTAATGAAATAAAATGAAAAAAATACCGGTGACAGATAGATGCTCAATCCTCTCTTACCACTAGTCTTATTTAAGTTTAGATAAGTGAAAGAGCCTTTGACGTTAAAGGAAATAGTTATAAAACACACACACACACACACACACACAGCCATGCTCTAACATCTAAGAAAATCAAGACATACCATTGACCTTCTTAAACATTCCATACATGTTTTCCAAGTAATCATGGTCTAAAAACCAGACAGAATCATCTTTGTCATCTTCATCAAAAGGTACTAAAGAAAAAAGATTTAGTTTAGGGTTATTGATAGAAATTACTAGAAACCAGGTCACAAGTAGAGACCCTAGGCCAGATCTGACTCGGATGTTTAATTTATCCAAAATGGCATTAAAAAACAATTTTTTTTTTGAAACAGAGTGTTACTCTGTCACCTAGGCTAGAGTGCAGTGGCATCATCATAACTCACTGCAACCTCAAACTACTGGGCTCAAGTGATCCTCCAGCCTCAGTCTCCCGAGTAGCTGGGACTAAATTTTCTAGTTTTGTTAATAGAGACAGGGTTCTCACTCTTGCTCAGGGTGGTCTTGAACTCCTGGCCTCAAGCAGTCCTCCCCTGCCTCACCCTCCCACAATACCAGGATTTAGGTGAGCCATCATGCCTAGCCCTCAAATTTTTTGAGTTGCTCTCAAGAACTGGGAGAGGTTAAACAAAAATCCAGACTTCGAGCTTCCCTTAAAAAAATGGAAGACCCTGCAACTACTCACTACACGGAGACGGGCTGGCTGCCTTCTTGATAAAGAACCATGCTCTTCAGTTCTATAAAAGCCCCACCACTTCCTAATTATTATTTCCCATTTGGCAAATTACACTACTGGCTGGTCCATTCAGACACTGGAGTTAGTGACCTCTAGTATAGATGTCACGCTGGCAATTATTTTATTGTTGTTGCTTTATTTTTTATGTTTTTATTTTTTTTAAAATCAGAGTCTCACTGTGTTGCGAGGGCTAGAGTGCTGTAGCGTCAGCCTGTCTCACAGCAACCTCAAACTCCTGGGCTCAAGCGATCCTCCTGCCTCAGCCTCCTGAGTAGCTAGGACTACAAGCATGCGCTACCATGCCTGCCTAATTTTTTTCTATATATTTTTAGTTGTCCAGATAATTTCTATTTTTTTAGTAGAGATGGGGGTCTCTTGCTTAGGCTGGTCTCAAACTCCTGAGCTCAAACCATCTGCCTGCGTTGGCCTCCCAGAGTGCTAGGATTATAGGCGTGAGTCACCACACGCCCGGCCTATTGTTGTTGCTTTAATCATAAAAGTAATACACGGATACATTCTTATAAAGATTCATGATATGGAGTAAAAGGGCAAAGTTCCCCTTCTCTCCCCTTGCCTACCCATAACCATAAATAGTTTAGTGCAAGAGTTGACAGATTGCACTGGCTGCCTGTTTTTATAAAGTTTTACTAGGATATAGCCATACTCATGTGTTTACCTATTGTCTATAGCTGCTTTTGTACTACAATAGCAGAGATGAGCAGTTGCAATGGAGACCACATGGCCTGCAAGTTTAAAATATTTACTGTCTGGTCTAACATACAGCCTGTAAGCTCTCTCTTCTATACTTCAGCAAGTCTGAAATAGAATCTCTGAGATGTAATAAAAAATGGTAACAAATGCTTATTTTAACCATGCTCAGAAAAATGTACAATTTGTGTCTTTTACCTGCAAAACTGTTGGATACATCAAGTACTTTCTTTTGCCAAGACCCCAAAAGCACACCAACTACGCGCTTCTGATTTCCGACCTTGCCGATTCTGAATGAGAAAACAGATGATCACTCTGGATAGGTGTGGAAATGTGAACTCAATAGTTACATACTTAATGGGAAACATCAATAGATACAATTTAGTTTACCTGGGAACTAATCTCCCTGAACAAATATATTTAATAATAGGGTTAGGTTAGTTCTTAATGCAAAGGATAATTCATGAACTTTGTATTAATGCACACTGGTAGTTTTTTTTTTAATCTTTTTTTTTTTTTTTGAGACAGAGTCTCACTTCTGTTGCCCAGGCTAGAGTGCTGTGGCATCAGCTTAGCTCACAGCAACCTCCAACTCCTGGGCTCAAGCGATCCTTCTACCTCAGCCTCCCAAGTAGCTGGGATACAGACATGTGCCACCATGCCCGGCTAATTTTTTTTATGTGTATATATATTTAGTTAGTCAATTAATTTCTTTCAATTTATAGTAGAGACAGGGTTTCGCTCTTGTTCAAGCTGGTGTCGAACTCCTGACCTTGAGCAATCCACCGGCCTCGGCCTCCCAGAGTGCTAGGATTATAGGCGTGAGCCACGGTGCCCGGCCACACTGGTAGTTTTTACTTACCACTGACTGCAAAGTAATACATTCCTGGAAAAATTTCAAACTTTGCAGAAATTTAAAATGAAAATTTCTCAGACCTTAGGAGTTTAGACCACTACTTGCGAAAACACATTTAAGTTATACTACCACATTTAACCTTTTCTTTGCAGCTCTCCTTTCTCCTTTAAACTTTCCCCATCCTCAAATCTTTTCAGGGAAAAAGATGCTAGAGTAGAACCAGTTTTATGGCCTGGCTTCTGGATTGCCAATTCTCCTCCGGAATATATGCTCAACGTCTAAAAGCCCCACTAGATATAATTTATTCTTTGTGAAGTCTGGAGGCTTCTTATTAGACAGAAGTCAGAAACGAGCTGGTGACTCATCACACACAAAGGAGGACTGAATGAGTAAGATTTTACTGCAGAATTTCTATCTTCATTTTAAATCCCTCCAGTAATTTTCTCCTAAGGAGTTTACAAAGTGTTTTGCTTATATACTCTCCTTTCATTGGTCTTCAAGAATTCTTTAACCAGTAGCAAACGTGAGACACAAAAACAATACAATTCTATGCTAAGGAAAGACAAAAGCCACTACATAGGAAACTACATTTCCTCAAAAGTTGCTATTTTAACATTGGTTTAATTGTAATATTTTTCTTACCATATAGTTTGCAACTCTATAAATGCTAACGAAATTTGGGGTTTGGATCAAAGAGAGTTGGTGACTCTGTATTACTTGGGACTGTGAAAAGTTTTTTTGGAAGGGGGTACTGAGTTTAACACACATAAAGAATTGAGTTTCCACACTTCCAAAGAAACTTCTACACTCATGGGCTTTTCTTTTGGTCTACAAAAGTCCATTTGTGTTTTTTTAAAACCCTGCATTTATCTGACATGGCAGCTAGAGCTCTTAACAAGTGCCTGAATACAACTGAAATGGTGTTTGCCCATTAGCACCCCTAGTATCCCGTGGGAGAAAAACAGTAATTACTGTACAGTAGAAAAGCCACGTATCCTGGTAGACTGAGGGTCCTTTTCTGGCTCTGGATGAATTAGCTATACAAAGCAAGTTGCGGGAGAATGGATACTTAGCAGCCATAACTTTACAGCAGATGCTCCCAACTGCTCTTCCCATTTGCCAATTCAAGTAATAATCTTATAAAACTTACGAACACGTGCAACAGGTCTAGCAGGATGAACAGCTCCAAAACAAGCAAGGGGTGGCGGATGTACACCCTCAAACAACGAACTCACTAAGTGTCCTGTGAAGTTTTCTTACCTTATTCATTAACGCCAAAATCTTCAAGTGGTCTCGTTTTTAAAAGAAAAACACTTCATCTACATTTTAAGCTATCATCAAACTAGATTCCCACTTAGAAACTTTCACAGGTTAAAACCTCGGCCCACCCAGGAGGCGCTTCGGGGGCGGTGAGAACAGAATTTCGGTGACAGCCTTCAGAAAGCACAGAAGCGCGAGTCTGAAGCGCCTTCCTATGAGACCGAGTTTTCTCGGTGAAAAGAGGCGGACGAGGTGACAGATGGGCACCGACCTGTGGGCAGGGGTCAAGACCAGCTGAAGCTCGCCCCCCACACCCTGGCATCGTCCAGATCTTGGTAAAGGAACAGAGAGCCCAGAGCCGTGGGTGGCGGCTGGGGCAGGGGCGTGATGCTGGGGTGACTTCGGCTTCGTAAGCCGAGGTTGGTCTGGGCCCGTCGACAGTCAGCCGCCCGCCGCCCCATCTGCGTCCCCGGCTCGCCCGCGGCCACCGCGCCATCCCCAGCGTGCCAGTGACTCAGCAGCGGCCGCACCGCCAGCCCGGCTAGGCCACCCAGCGCCGCCCGCTCACCGGTTGAAATGATCCACCACACTGAGCAGCACCAGGGGGTGGACCACCACCTTCTGCACCGCCAGCTCTGGCATCGCGACACTCCCTGCCCGCCAGGCCTGGCTCCCCGCGACCCGCAAATACCGGTAGCAGCTCCTCCAGGCCCAGCTCCTCCTCTTCCGGTTCAACAGCAGCCGCGCGGCCTCCTTCTTCCGCTCCTAGAGTGCCTTGCGCGGCGTGCCCGGACTGTCGCCACGGCCGCCATCTCGACAAGGGGAACGCTGTGGAGGAAGGCGGGGCCGCCCGCGGTCCCCTGCCTGGCGTTTCCCTGGACTTGAAAGCCAAAGCGACACTGGCGGCTGATAAAGCTTGACCTCCTGGTATTGGCTTGCACTGTCCCTTGCACTGTCCCCTGCAGCGGCTTTTCACCTCAGTTCCTTCCTAGCTCACCCACACTCCCTCTTGAAGAATATAGAAAAATACCTAGAAATAAGTAAATAGTAAGTTTATATTTCCACCACCCAGAAAATGTTCACCTTTGCTTCAAGTCAAAATCCTCGGGGATTTCTTAGAGGAACTTGAAGTCGCTAACATTATAGCATGATTTTAATGTAAATTGGCAATTTATCTCATCATTGTCATGGTGGGAGGCATTTCTCCTTTATCTTTACTGTGGACATTTTGCAGATAAAGTGGCAACCTGCAGGTTTCCACCTGTCTTTATATTACTGTGTAACTAGGGCCGCTAGAGGAGCGAGATTTGTGCCGAGGGTCAGACCACAGAGGTGGCTTTTCAAATCAAAATTTACCTAAGGGTTGAAGAAAAAATGGAAGGCAATGAGGAAGTATGTTGTGATATTTAGCTAGGAAAGAGAAAAAGGAAGACTAAAAGGGGAAATAGAGGAAACAAGGGCTTAAACTTACTTGGAGAAGGAGGCAGGTTACATTATATCTTGTCTCAAGTTGATGTTTCTGTAAACAAAAACAATACTTTAGCACCTTGAATTATTTACTTTTTGCTTGTCATGTGTTTGAACAGCTTTTATCTTTCCTATATTACCACAGGATTTTCCTCAACAGTTTGGCTTCTTATCCTTTTAAGGTAGACTCCTGATCTCCAAATGTTAGGGGACATATACAATCTCCGTGTCATTCTTGCCTGTGGATTGTGAAAAACACTATCAAAAACTAGACTGCGATCTGACTACTAAGGAAGGAATGACCTTAATAGAGTCAGGAGTTTTGTTTTGTTTTGTTTTGTTTTTGAGACAGAGTCTCACTCTGTTGCCCAGGCTAGACTGCCATGGTGTCAGCCTAGCTCACAGCAACCTCAAACTCCTGGGCTCAAGCGATCCTTCTGCCTCAGCCTCCCAAGTAGCTGGGACTATAGGTGTGCACCATCATGCCCGGCTAATTTTTTCTATATATTTTTAGTTGGCCAATTAATTTCTTTCTATTTTTAGTAGAGACTGGGTCTTGCTCTTGCTTAGGCTACTTTCGAACTCATGACCTTGAGTGATCCTCCCGCCTCGGCCTCCCGGAGTGCTAGGTTTACAGGAGTGAGCCAGAGTCAGGAATTTTAATGTGTCTGCATGTGCATACTTCCATGCCTTCTGTCTGCTAGATCCACGAGGAAGTAATGGCAGGATTTACTCATTCAAAATTAGTAAGAGAGATGCTCAATGCTATCTTTATTTTTTATTAGAATTAGAAAGTTTTAAGGGTCACATCAAGGGAAAGAAAACCAAGAATTATTGAATCAACTGAGTGTCGTATGCCAGCTTTGGTATAGACATTCACAAACATTTAAGCCTTTTAATCCATGCTTCTCAAACTTTGATATGCTTAGAAATCACCTGGAGACCTTGTTAAAGTACAAATTCTGATTCTGTAGGTCTGGAATGGAACCTCGGCAGTCTTAACAAGCTTGCAGGTGAGGCCCATGCTGTGTTAACAAGGCTTGTAGCAACCTTATGAAGTAGGTATTTTCTTATTTTACAAATAGAAATTGTTGCTCAAATGTTGCTCCCATGGTGGGCTTTTTCTGACTACTTTGTTTAAAATTCCATCTTTCTCTACTACCTATATATTTCCGCTTTAGCTTTATGTAGAGGGTTTTTGTTGTTTTTTTTAGCCACGTTTGAATAGTAGAATTTACCTATTCATTGTCTTTTCTCCCCATTAGAATATAAGCTCCTGTTTAGTTCACTTTTATATCTCAGTGTCTTGAAAACTACCTGGCACATAGGAGGTACTCAGTAATTATTATATAAATGATCAATTTGTTATAGGAAGGAAATGGAAAACAATGATGAGGCTCAGACATTGGAAAGGACCTTTTTAAGATCACGTTGCCATTAAGGATCAAGCCAGATTTCTATGATCCCAGTTCCTAGCTCCTGAATGCATCTCTCAGAGGTAAAAATAAACTGTGTTAATTTCATTAAGGTGTTGAATTTCAGACTTTATAAAGTGCTATGTTTTATTTCCCATTGAGTTCACATTGCAGTTGTACAGACTAGACAAGTTGTTTGGAAGCTTATTGGAGGTCTCTAGCCCTGAGTCACTGAAGCACTATGAAATTGACTTTGAACTTCAAAAAATTATTCAAACTACCTATGATCATCGTGTAATAGAATATTCAGATAAATAAAAATTAGAATCTCTTAGAATCTTACCGCATAGAGAAAACTATTAATAGTATTAACTCTGGTCCAAACTGTTATACCTCTTATTAAGGGAGGGCAGCATTAGCTTCCTAACTGGTCTTCCTGCTTCCAGTTTGACCTCCCATACCCATCCTCTATCTGCAGCCAGCCTTTTTTTTTTTTTTTTTGAAACAGGGTCTTATTCTGTTGTCCAGCTAGAGGGCAGTGGTATCATCATAGCTAACTGGAACCTCCAACTCCTGGGCTCAAGCTATCCTCCTGTCTCAGCCTCCTGAGTGTCTGAGACTACAGGCACACACTGATGCCTAGCTAACATATTTTCCATTTTTGTAGAGATGGGGTCTCGCTCTTGCTCAAGCTGGTCTTGTACTCCTGACCTCAAGCAATCCTCCTGCCTTGGCTTCCCAGAGCGCTAAGATTACAGGCTTGAGCCACCGCACCCAGCCAAAATGTATGTTTCTAAGAGTAATGTGTACTCACTGTTAGAACTTCATGTAGTATAGAAATATAAAACTTGATAAGTAAAAATCTCCCATAATCCCACCACCTAGATATAATCACCAATAACAGTTTGGTGTGTGATTCTTCTAGATCTAATATTTGAAAGTTTTGAAGAACCTAATTTCATAGTGTAGTAGTGACCATGGTGTCTCTTTGTTTTGGGATTACTCAACTTGATGGCACACCTCATTTTTTATTTCCATCCCCCAAACTCATAACTAATTATAGTCATAATTAGTTTACATTTTGTGGTTGAGTCCTACAGTTACTCAGGATCCCTGACCTCTGCATCTTTGAAAAATGATGAGGACACTTTTGCTTTGAATCTTAGCTTCCTTCCCTTGTGATGAGGCAACTTTTGATACTCTTTCTGGGTCCTACCGATCATTTTCATTACATGTATTCTTCCTACTTTTGGGAACATTGCTTTGGATTTTCCACATTTCTTTTAATATTTTTTAGTTGACTATCAGATGATTGCTCTTACCTCCTGAGATAACATAACTTTTAAATTAAGTCCTTATGTTGAAATCTGTTCTGTGTCGCTTCTTACAGTTTTTTGAAATTGCTTATGTAGGGGAGGTTCTTCCTTCAAAGATGTATATATGTTGTTTTTGGGTAGGCTTTGATTTTGAGTGCCTGCAGTATTGTGATCTATGTATGATTTCTTTTATTGTAAACCTCATCAGTGTTATCTATGGTTTCCTCATTGGCTTAGGGCAGGGGTCCTCAGACTTTTTAAACAGGGGGCCAGTTCACTGTTCCTCAGACCATTGGAGTGCTGGACTATAGTTTAAAAAAAACTATGAACAAATTCCTATGCACACTGCACATATCTTATTTTGAAGTAAAAAAAACAAACAGGCAAAAACACCCACATGTGGCCTGTGGGCCATAGTTTGAGGACGCCTGGCTTAGGGTATGGTTATTAATGGACGCTGTGGTGAAGTTCTCCTGGGGACTTGGATGCCAGGTGGGCCGGTCTTTGGGTTCTGGTGGTGGCATCAATAGGCTGTTCTTGGGCCCCAGAGTGGCTTATGCTGGCACCAGCATTAGTGGGTCAGGAGAGCTGATTCTTGGGCTTCAAGGTGGCTTGTTTGGATGCTGGTAGTGGCAGCAGTGAGCTGGGCATGTGGGAAGATGCTTGGGCCCTTGGGCAGCTGGTGTGATGTGGGCAATGACAGTAACAATGGTGGAGTGACCCACTGGAATCCCAGTGGTCCCTGTTGGCGTTGGCAGTGGCTGTGGCATGTTGGGTGGGGCAGGCTCCTGGCCTGCTGGTGGTGCATGTGGGTGGGTGCCAGCTGTGACGTTATCAGCAGGTTGGGTTGGCCTGACCTCATGCCCTCCCAGGAGTGATCAGGTGTCACTGATGATAGACTTGGCTGGGTGATTTCCAGACCCCTGGGTGGCAAGCTTGAGTACTGGGGGGATGGGATTGGGCCACAGACTTCTCCTCAGGCCCCTGGTAGTGCCTTCATGTGTTTCCTGTGATAGGCAAAGGTGGTTCCCAGGCTAGTGCGGGAATGCTCAGGTGTGGGCAGTGGCAGCTGCACTGTGAGTCTGCCACCAGGGAGGTTGGACCCCTCTCACCTGGAGCAGCATAGGGAGGTAGCTGTAGGGAGTACAGTTAGCTTGTGCCTTGGTCCCATAGCAGCCCACAGCAGGGGATGTGCCCGGCCTCCCTTCTCCATCCTTGGCTTGCTGGGGGCAGTGGCAGCACCATCCCCAGCTTGGCTGCAGGACAGAATGCAGGACTTTGGTGGCCAGGCTCTCAGAATGGCACCAAAGTGCAGCTGCTCATGGCTCAGATGCCTGTGGGACTCCACATGTGTTCCCTCCCCGGAGCAAAGTCTCTGCACAATCTCTGGGCAGCTCCTTACGTTAGGCTCGAGGCCTGCGGGGAGCAAGGGGTTCTCCCATAGCTAAGATTGTCAAATACCATGGAGGGAGTGTGGGGCCCTGGGGGTTTCTCTCTTCCCTCTTCCCCACACCTGGAGCCTCTCCTGGCCGGGAAAGCTGCCTCGCTTCCCTCTCCATCTTGCTTTCAGCGCTTCCCATCACTTCTCTGCTAAATCCCAGTGTTCTCTCTTAGATAATCCATGCAAAGTGTGAGTATCTACTTGGTTCCTCTCTGTGCAGCTGGTGCACACTACCTGCATCTAGTCATTTATCTTGGGGAGCTCATGTACTGAGAGCCTATTGTGTCGCTTCCCCTGGCACGGGGCCAGCCCTGGGGCATGAGCAGGCAGCAAGGATCACAGCTGCAGCCAGAGGTGCAGCCTGGCCTGGAGCACACAGGGCACAGCAGCACCAGCCTGTTTTGCACAGGTCGCCCCTGCCAGCTCCACCGTGTGCCCCCACCTCGCCGGGCTCTCTGGCATCCCTGCTGACAGGGAGGGGACTGCCAGGACTTTTAATAAACATAAGAAATATGAAGTACCAGTTTTTTAAAAAGTACTCTGAATATTCAAATATTAATATGAAATATTACTAGATAATGCTTCAGGAAAGAAAAACCTGGAAGGAAATATACCACATTCTTATTAATGGTTATCTTTGAATGGCGACAGTGAGTCGTATATTTCACTTTTTCACTATTCTATGTTTTCTTTTTTATATAGTTATATATTATTATTATTATTGATTTGTTAGTGGACATCACTGAAAATACATAGTCCTACTAGCAGGGCAGCAGAATATAGAACTAATACTGCAGCCTCCTCAAGCAGACAGACTTGCATGGCAACATCCTCAGTTTCCTCGTCTATTAATATAAAAGGGGGTGATGGTACAAAGGATAAGGGTACTAATGTCCCCATATCAGCTAGATCACTCTTGATTGCTAGTGGTCGTACCCCACTCAAACCTGCTGACGTGCCAAGGGAAGTTCATTATTTCATATTGCAGGGAAGTCCAAGGGCCCTCCTAGTTACAGGGGACTCTAATGACGTTTCTCTCTCTACTTTTCAGCATCCTTTGGTGTTTCAGCTCCATTTTCAGACCAACTTCCTATCAGTGACAGGGAAACAGATGGCTGTAGAGAGTCCCAGGTTTTTACATCTTTCAGTGAGAGTATACCGTGAACTCCAAACCTTTATTTATGAAACTTGATTGGCTTTGCAGGGCCAGAAGCCATCCCTGAACTAGCCACTGAGACCAGGGGAGTAGAGTTCTCTAACTGTCCAGTTTGGGGTCAGTTGGGGGAGGTGCAAGTGTGGTGGCTTAGTTCATCAGGATCACATGGAGTGGGGAAGGACAAAGGGGATGCTGTCATCAGAAGGGGGAATGAATACCGGACAGGCAAAAACAAGTCCATCCTTAGCTGGGTGCAGTGGCTCACGCCTGTAATCCTAGCACTCTGGGAGGCCAAGGGGAGAGGGAATCGCTCAAGGTCAGGAGTTCAAAACCAACCGGAGCAAGAGCGAGACCCCATCTCTACTAAAAATAGAAATTAATTGGCCAACTAAAAAATATATATAGAAAAAATTAGCTGGGCATGGTGGCACATGCCTGTAGTCCCAGCTACTTGGGAGGCTGAGACAGTAGGATCGCTTGAGCCTAGGAGTTTGAGGTTGCTGTGAGCTAGGCTGAGGCCACGGCATTCTAGCTGGGGCAAGAGAGTGAGACTCTGTCTCAAAAAAAAAAAAAGTCCATCCTGTGATATAAAGAACTTAGCATAGTTCTTGGGACATAGTAAGAACTCAATAGATACTAGACATGGCAGTCATTAGAGTGTGGGGTTATTGTCATTATTACATTTTTTATCAGTTCTTAAGAATTTTATGTTTCTATTACCTAGTGTTTATATTTGAAGTAACCTAGCAGAATAAGAGTTGAAATTCACTTTTGTGTGTATTGAGTATTTCTTTACACCTTATCTTTTCCCTCAGGTATTTTCAGTCTATGAAGATTGTATTTTTTTAAAATTCCTTTCCTAAAAGGTATTTATTTACTTATTTTTTTAAAAATATATTTACGACCATTTTGATTTTCCAGTGGCTAATTTTTGCAGACAAACTTGGTTTGTTTAAAGAGGGTTTCCTTTGTTTTTCTGCTTCACACAAGCGCCGACCCTACACATTGGCCTTGGATACCTGCATAGTTGTTATTCCTCTCGCTGTTGTCATATTTCATTTAACTGCAAATTAAAAAGAACTAAAAAAATTACAGCAATTTCTAGTTCATATCCAGGAAATAGAACTCTCCACAGGATCCCTTGCATGGTAAAATTATGTTAGAAAATCATTTTCCATTGTGCCTCGAGAGCCTATAAGGCCGCCACGATGGAGCGCAGTTCACCTCTCTTGGATGCAACCCAGAGAGACTGCAGCGCACAGACCGCAGGAAATCCCCCATCTGAAGAGTTAATTTTCTTCCCGAATCAGTGTTAGAGGCTGCTGAGATTAAAACAAGACACTTTAAGATTGGTACAGGAACACTTATAACCGCTGACTACAAAAAGAAAACCCAGGAGGTCAGAGGCAGCCTTGGGAGCCACTTTGCTTTGAGCCTCCCCAACCCTTTATTTTGAATTTACCTTCTCTTTGATTATGCATGCTTTCCGCTTTAATAAAAAGAATTCATTAAATTAACATAAATAAGCAAACAAGTAATTTAGTCTCTTTAAAGGTTTCAAAATGTCTAGAAGTCGCTTTTGTTTTTGTTGCTGTTGGGACTCAGGAAATGTATGGTGTTCCTGCTTCCCGCACGCTGAGCGCCTTGAACCACAGGAGAACCAAGGTCTGTCTGTCCTTCTGCTGCTCCCTGTGTCTGCTCCTCTTTCCTTCTCTAAGCTCAAAGAAGGGCTTTCTCTGAAGTTCCCTTATGTGACTAAGGGACGTTCCTCCAGAAGGAATGCAATTGTCATGAGCCCCCTGCCTATAATCTCATCAAACAGGAGAGATTAACTCACAGGAAAGGAGATTTAAGGGCATCACCTATTCTGAGAACTGCTACCAGAAAGTCTTTATCTACATAACAATATGGGCTTTGTTCACCCCATGTTTTCTCCCCTCAACTTCCATAACCTGTGGCCATCACCCCCCAGAAACTCCAATCCTCTGTATCTTTCTGTAGCTCAGGACTCGACATTAACTTCAACCATCTGGAGCTTGTTGGAGTCTCATACATTGTGGGATCCCTGAACATGTGTGTGTAATAAATTCATATGTTTTTTCTCCTATTGATCTGTCTATATGGTCAGTTTCTTCTAGTAACCCAAATGATCACAATTTCAGAAGGTAGAATGAAATTTCCCTTTGCCCTTACATTGCCATGCCATTCTGATTCTTTTCAGGGCCACTCTTAATGACTGTGTAAAATCAAACATTTTTTTTTCCCTTCTCAGTTTTACCTGACTTTTAGATGCAGATTTATGGATGTGATATCAAAACAAGTGTAAGGTTTGAAAACAGGCAAAGCTCTTCATCTTTTTTAAAGACAGAGATATTTTTTCTTTCCTGTTTTTTTTTTCAAATCAGTAAGCCAAAGAAGCATTTATTTTTAATCTGTAAAGCCAAGGCAGTGATATTCAGTAATAGTTGTTGGAAGAAAAAAAATCAATCATAATCCTAATCTCAAATGTACCTTCCATTTTTGGGCACATGCATGCATAGTTGATCTGGTTGAAGATGAGTATAAACTTAAGAAGCATTTTAATGCAATCAGAAAAACGACTGAGAAGGAGTCAAAGCAATTTGAAGTTAGTCTACTTTATGTTTTGAGAATATAGTTAACAACATTGTATTGTATACTTACAATTTGTTAAGAGGGTAGATCTTAAGTGTTCTCACCGCACTTACAAAAAGGTAGCTACATAGATGAGGTAATGGATGTATTAATTAGCTTGGTTGTGGTATTTATTTTACAATATACATTGTGAATATACATGCATATTAAAACATTACATTGTGGCCGGGCTCGGTGGCCCACGCCTGTAATCCTAGCACTCTGGGAGTCTGAGGCGGGTGGCTCACTTGAGGTCAGGAGTTTGAAACAAGCCTGAGCAAGAGCGAGACCCCGTCTCTACTATAAATAGAAAGAAAGTAATTGGCCAACTAATATACATAGAAAAAATTAGCTGGGCATGGTGGCGCATGCCTGTAGTCCCAGCTACTCCGGAGGCTGAGGCAGCAGGATTGCTTGGGCCCAGGAGACTGAGGTTGCTGTGAGCTAGGCTGACGCCACAACACTCACTCTAGCCTGGGCAGCAAAGCGAGACTCTGTCTGAAAAAAAAAAAAAAATTATACCCCAGTAAAGCTGAAAAAAAAGCAAGAGAGCAATGCTTTTACCAATAAACTGTAATTTTTTGCTCTTTGCAAGAATAGGAAAGGGCAAAAGTCTTTGTAGGAATGCTTTGTTATCACTGACATCCTCTCAAGTCTTATAAATATTAGTATCTGCAGTTTGTTCCTTATCTCAGTGGTCATCTGCAGTGCCTTCTATTGGTTCTCAACCAGAGCATTGCAGGTACCTCTCACCTGCCTCCAGCTGAGACCTTCAAGCTGTCTTCCACATTGCTCACCTTCCTTCCCCCCTCAAAGTGAAGTGCTAGGATTACTTCCTTAAAATCCTCCAAAACCTTTCCAACCTGCAGGATAAAATCTGAACTTTAGGAAGGTGTCCAAGCCTCTTCCCAACCTAGGCTCAACCAACCTCTGTGAAAGTCATTTCCTGTTGCTCTCTCCCTTTGCCAAACCCACCTGAAATTCCAACCATCTCAGCTATTTTCGACCATTTGCTTTTCTCTTTGCTCTTTTAGTTGAACCCCTTATGTACCAGGAGCCATCCAGAAAGTCATCTCTTCTGTTGGAGCTTTCCTTGCCCTACCCAGGTGGAGTTGGTTCCTCTGTCGTCTGGGTTCTGAGAGCACTTCGTGCTTATTTCTGTTATAGTACTCACCATGCTTGGTAGTACCGGTCTGTTTGATGTGTACCTCTTCTGCACTGGGGTTTATGTAAAGGCCAGGACCATAACTTAGTCATCTTTTTAGTGTCTGCACCTAACAAGAGTCAGACATTGGTTAGCTGTATTATGTAATTTGGGAACTATGTTTCACAAGTATATCCCTAATGCTTTGGTCAGTGATCTTCAGCATGCAAAAAAAATTAATATTCTCCTAGTTTCCTGGTTCATCTCCGTACACACAAAGAGAAAACAACACACAACCAAACCAAACTCATATATTCATAGAATGAGAAAAGCTCCTTGATTAAAAATTTCTCTTGTCAGAGCATATAATTTTATACATGTCCATTGTTTTGGATATAATGAAATGTGTGGAAATGAGAGTGAAAAATATATAGGTTGCTGTTAATGAAACCATTCAAAACCAAAATGGTATATTCTGGGTAGCTGTGATTTTTTTTTCTGAATGGTACTATGTACAATTTTAGGTGTGTGTCAGATAACCTCCTCACCCTCATTTCTTTCTTAATACCTTTTATCATAATTTCTGAAGCTCCCTTTTGCAGTTCGAGTTAAAAGTCTAGAGGCAAGCTCTTCAGAACTCTAACACCTGCTTAGAGCTAACTGGCAGGGGGAGAAATTGAAAAGCAGCAAAGAGTCTTTTCAACAAAGTACTTAGCATTTTAAATAGTGGATGTCTGAAAAAAAAAATGGTAACAATAATATTGGAAATCTTTACACCACCCCACGCAGGAAGAGGCATGTGAAGCTGTTTAGTGGATTCATACCTTGAGTTCTCAAAATCCTTCATTTACAAAGATAGTTCTAAATTGATTTTGATCAAATGAAACTGCTAAGAAAGTGGACTTTTCCTTGAGCAGAGATTTATACTTTTTCGTTTAAAATTCAAACCCTTTTCCTTCTAACATCAAAGAGTGAGGCCTCTAGGCTTTTAGAATCTTATTTCTAATAATATACTGCCCCAAAACCACGAGGAGGATGTTTAGAAAATTAAGAAGAAAGTTTAGAAATAATTAAATTTCTGTTCTCATCCACTATTTGATGCTGAATATAAAATACCACATTCCAGGTTAATGACCACAGTTTTATAAGCTGTGTGGTTTTTTTTTTTAAATTCTTAATGATTTCATATTATTCCCTTGGATTTCTGGGGACTTTTAAGATTCAGAAGCTTCTTGTGGACTTTTTGAGGTTACATCTGTTAATTTTTTATCTTTTTGTTCTGCAGCTGGAAGCAATTGTTTCATTTGTTTTTCCAGCAGAGGGAGACATCTGACCATGAACGTCGTATTGCCACTTGCCAGGAGTATTCTGTAAGCCCATTTTATCAATATACATAAAAAACTCAATGTTCAAATTAACTAGTTCAATAAGTAATTTAGCTCATTGATTTTTGGGCATATCCTAAGTGCCATTACAAGCTACGGATATTTTAAATGCCATTACCTAATAGAAGGAATGTTTTAAGCACCTTTTATTGATTTTATTACTGCTTTATTTTGCTGTCTTGGTTTAAAATCATTTTAACCACTCCGTAATCAAGAAGAAATATATCGTTGGTGAAATACAGTCAATTTCCTAAAAACCTTTGACATCGTTAAATAAGGAATTACAGTTGTTAAATCATGTCAGGCAATAACTGAGGGACAGAAGAGATATAAAATTGGGAGCAGTGGGCAGCGTACCAGTAAGCGGTACGCTGACCTCTAGCATTCAGATTCTTCATGTATCAGTCACACTACAGGTCTGCTTATGGTTTTCACATCAGCAAGAAAGATTTAAAATCTCAGGTAGCAGGGAAGGTGGAAGAATGCTAGCAAAATGTGATCCAGGGGCGATTACCCTGTTTTTGAACGACCTCTTGTGACTTTCAGTGAAAATGATTCTCTAAGCAATTTTGTAATTTAATTTGCTTTTCTTGCTAGATTATAGTATATTGATATTCCACATAAGAGGGAACCAAGGAGCTCACGGGTTTTTTTTCACCACTTTCTTCTTCTGCTCATTTGATTCTATATTAGCAGTATTACTGAGCCGATGAGCGGGTAGATGGGGAATATGGTCCATACACCGCTTAATCAAAGAGGTGCAGGAGTGGGCAGTGAGTGCTGAAGCTCATACAAGCCCGCTAATGAGTTGATTGCATTGACGTTGGATGTAATTTAACTGTAGAGCGGCAAATATCAATACCTGTGTATGATTTGGCAGATGGTAGTTGAACGGCGATTAGAAGTTTAGAATGATTCCCAGTAAAAGAGTACCTGGCAGTAACCCAAGAGCAGAGAACTGAGTTTTCCCCATTAAATGGAATAGGTCCAGCAAGTCAAGTGTTTTGATCATTAATAGAATCTTTCCTTTTCTTTTAGCAAATGTTAGCTTCGAGAGGAAATTGATAATTATGCATGGGTCTATTAAATGATCTTAGGGAGAGCTCTTTTCATTCCTTCAAATGAGCTCATATCTACAGTTGTGGCAATTACTCACTGGCAAGGAAAGAAAACTAGTTAAAATGCTGATAGGCATCATTTCGAATATATTGGCGATGTTGGAAGCATCTGGATAGGATTAATCTGTTTGAAGCTGAAAACCAGATATGGCTGTTAACATTAATGACTAGTCCATATTATTTTATAAATTATGTAAATATGTTATAATATGAAACCATTTAAGCTGTGTTGAGTGTCTGTTATATGCAAGACACTGTTGTAGGTGTCCCAGATACAAAGAACACCAAGATGATGTCTTTTCCCTCAGTGAAGGCTGGACGTGTACAGTGCATGTCCCACGGAAGGGCTGTGGCCAGGTACACAGGAGTGACAGGACAGGGGAGAGGAGATGTCAGGGAAGGCCTCAAGGAGGTACCCTTTGAAACAGAGCTTGAACAGCTATAGAGACGGGCATTCAGAAGTAGACTAGCAATACAAAAGCATAAGCTGCTTTTGAAATTTGTGAGTGAGCTCTATAAAAATAAGGGTCTTGTTTGTTTTGTTTCCTTCTTTTTTCATTTTAATTATGAACTGTTTAATATATCCTTATATGTGTGTAAGAACAATGAAATGCATAAAATATCTTCGCCTCCCAGCCAAAATATGGAATATTACCAACACCTCTGAAGCCCTGGTGGGCTCTTGTTGAATTGCTCCCTTCTGACCTGCAAATACTTGAAATTATTCAATATTCTTGAACTCCTGACCTCCAGCAATACCCCCCACCTCGGCCTCCCAGAGTGTTAGGATTACAGGCATGAGCCACTGGGCCCGGCCATATTTAATATCCTTATACCCAGTTGCAAAGTACAGGAACATTTGGGTTTCTCAAGACCCACAACACTTTTATTATCTTTGGTTGGATCCATGCAAGATGAAGTGAAGGCATGGCTTGATGTTTGCCTGGGGTGAATTCAGATTATCTGGAAAAAAATTTTATTTTATTATTTTTTTTTTGTGGGAAAGAAGGTGCATCCCAGATAATCTAAGTGACTGTCAGTATAATTTGAGTAAATCAGGAATTATTCTAGTCATAGGAATAGTTATTTCTAGTCATAAGAATGATCTAATTTCAGTAACAGAAATGACCAGGCCAATGTAATATGCTGACCTTCATTCAAAGTTCAATCCACTCTTCTCCCCCAGCTCAGTCTTGCTCCAGGCAGACAGGCCTGCAGTAGGAGTGGGATTGAGCTGACATCTCCATTTCTCTTCCTGGTACTTCTCCTCTCTACCCATCTCACTCCAGCTGGGAGCTTCAAGGGGGAAGAAAGAAGGGGCAAGGGATGGGGACGTCTTCCTCGGCAGATCCTGTCCTGATTTGCTGGTGGTGTTCTCTGGGCTTGGCAGATGCTCAGTGCTGACTCTGGGGAGGCACTTTTGGGGTTCCTCCTGGCGGAATGGCTGACTGCAGGCCACATGCCTCTACTCTGACTGCATCCCAGGGTCCATCTCTTCCTAGTGGCATACCCTGACCCTTTTGGGTGGGATCTCTTTTAAAATGCACCTCCCACCTCTCTTTTACATAAGGGCCAATCACATAATTGCTGTGAGGATGATATGGAACAATGTACGTAAAGCACTCTTGCTGGCATATATTTGTTGAATACATTAATGAGCGATTTATTGGGTACCTTCTCTGTTGGGCACTTTGCAAATGCTTTATAAACCTTATCATATACCAATCCCATGAGATAGATTTAAAGAGACTGAGATACATCAAGTTATTTACAAGGTCACAGCGTTAGAAAGTGGCTAAGCTTGGTTTTGCACCTATGTCTGTCTAACACCAAAGTCTCGTTGGACATGGGTCTTACTGTTCTAAACCCCAGGAAATCTGATGAATACCCATGGTTCCTAGCGTCCATTCTCTCTTGCCAGCTTCCTGAATGTGAAGTGTGCTATCAAGCTACAGGGAAGTTCCCTTGAACACTTTCCCTTGACCACACATATATGACATGTGGACAGACCTGACTTCTTCTATGAATCCTTTAGGTCCCCGGAGGTCCAAGGGGTCACTAGATTTCTGCTAGTGAACCCAATCAGATGTTCAAGGAAATTCACCCTGGTAATCCAGACAGAACATGGGTTTTCCTTCCAGAGAAATATCGCAGTATTTCGTAGGCGTTCATGGCACGAGTGGAGTCCTGGGCCTCAGGGAATAATTTCTGGATGGAGGGAGAGGAGAGTCGGGGAGGGAACCACACATCTGTCTTTTGCCTCCAGCGGTTCAGGAATAGTCGCTGCATTTGAGCCACTAAAGCTCTGCTTTGCCGACTGCCTCCGATTACTCCCAGGGTGACCTGTTCAGATTGGAGATCTCAGCAGAGAGGCCTGGAAGAATATGCATTCCTTGTTCATGCCTATTCATGTGGGATGGGAGAGGGGTTAAGAAAATCTGCTTTGGAAAGAATTGGACAGAATTAGACTAGGAGAAGGCAAACCATGGAAAGGAAACAAAACCACCGGAACATTAGTTCTAATTTGTTTCAGTAAAAGGTTGTTTAATGAAATCCTAATGTTAAATCTTGGCCCTCGATAAACACTGCTAGGATACGTGTACTTAATCCCAATGCTGTAAAAAAAAAAAAAAATCTACATTAAAATTAGCTCGTGTCATGCCCCTTTAACTTCATGCCTAGCAAGCAGCAAATTGCCACAAGTAGATAATTTGAAAGTCCGATTTTTATTTGCTCTTGTTGCTTGAGGCAAAGTGAAGTTGAACCCCAGATTGTAAACTGGCCAATTTCTGGAGCACAGACAGTTAGTCAGCCGATGTGTATGAATTACCAACCCTTCTTCACTCCACCATGGAGAGGTTGTCAGAAAAATGCATTCAAAAATTCTTATTTTGTGGACCGTAAAATAAGTGGGGTCTTGTGAGAAGCCTCCTGACTCTCGTCCTGTTTTTGGCTCAGTGGAGGATTTAGCAATAACCAGAAAAGGACAGTCCTTGCTGTTTGTATCTCAGCTTCGTCCCCAAGAATGTACAAATAATAAAACCTGTCCTTTAGGATTTTGTAAGGTTCTTACAGCAAAGTATTTTGAGCTCCTTGGAGAAAAAGGGCTACTCGGTGAGATAGCGTTGTTAGTCCTTTTAACGTCAATTATATCCTGAAATATGATTTCAGAATTTCAGGATCCCGGGACCCAGGATTGAACTGGCAGCCGATCGATTCTGTGGAATTTAGAGTTCTCGTTCTCGGCACTGAACCAAAATTTGCTTTGGCTAAAAGAGGGAAAGCATACAATTATGGTCAGAACCGTAATAATAAATCTACTGGAACAACCTTCTTTCCACCACATATCTTTTCTGGTATTTTTCTGAATATCCAGCTTATAAAAACTAGCAGAGATTGTAATTTCAATTGCGCCAGCCACTCTGGAAGTCTACGAAGCCATTTTGACTACGATCTGTTTTTATTTTTCCAATGTGCATGTGTGAAAGGTTTTCTTTTGTTTTTTTTTTTCTTTTTGTTTTGAAAATTACAAAATAGAAAAAAAAAAAGGAGACAAAACGGTTAAAAGTATGGAAGGTCTACCAGTGCTGCTTTTTCTGCACCTTGAGGACTAGCAAAATCTTTAATATGAGACTTTATTTGTACAAAGCAAAACTTCAAAACCACTCAAAAGCTTTTCTTATTAACTGCTGTCAGTCCTGTGATTTACAGAGGCAATAAAGAACTAGAGGGGGTATATTTATCATGGAGTTCTGCACACCGGGAGCCATTTTCTCCAGCGGTAAAGGCAAGTGATAAAACGAATTCTTTTGTTCTATAACCAAGACACATTCCCTGTTCCCTGTCCTCTAAACTTGGGCACACCAG